CAGGGAGGGAGAGCTTAAGAAGAAAGCATGTGGCGTGACATTCCTATTGCCTTGTCAGGGACACCCCCAGTGGTGAGCTGGGAGGAAGCGGGAGAGGAGACAGAGAATGACAGACCACATTCCACCAAGCTCTGTTGTGATTCAGCCTGGGGAAGCTTATTGAAAAAAAAAAAAAGAAAAAGAAAAGTTTTGCTGTGAAGCAACCCTATCTGCCAAAAACCAAAAATGAAGAGGTGTGTTCCCCACCCCCACCGCCAGGTGCCACAAAAGCCCATCACACTTCCACTCCATACCAGCCTTCAATAGATAACTAGCCCCTTCAAAGTAAATAATAATCAGAAAGGAATTAACTTGAGAACTTTCCTTTTATTTTTTATTTATTCATTTTTTTTTTTTTTTTTGAGATGGAGTCTTGCTCTGTCATCCAGGCTGTAGTGCAGTGGCCTGATCTTGGCTCACTGCAACCTCTGACTCTCGGGTTCAAGCGATTCTCCTGCCTCAGCTTCCTGAGGGGATTACAGGCGCCCACCACCACACCCAGTTAATTTTTTGTATTTTTTTAGTAGAGACTGGGTTTCACCGGTTAGCCAGAGGGTCTCAATCTCCCAACCTTGTGATCCACCTACTTTGGCCTCCCAAAATGCTAGGATTACAGGAGTGGGCCACCGCACCTGGCCGGATCTTTCCTTTTAAATGCTCTTTTTAAAATGAGATAAATGGGGCGAGGGCGGTGAGAGGCCAAGGCGGGTGGATGGCTGGAGCCCAGGAGGTCAAGGATGCAGGGATCCATGATGGCACCACTGCATTCCAGCCTGGGACACAGAACAAAACCCTATCTTTAAAAAAATAAGAGAGAGAAAGCCAGGCACGGTGCTTCAGGCCTGTAATCCCAGCATTTTGGGAGGCTGAGGGGGGTGTATCACAAGGTTAGGAGTTCAAGAGCAGCCTGGCCAACATACTCAAACCCCGTCTCTACTAAAAATACAAAAATTAGCCAGGCATGGTGGCACACATCTATAGTCCCAGCCACTTGGGAGGCTGAGGCAGAAGAATAGCTTGAACCCGGGAGGCAGAGGTTGCAGTGAGCCAAGATCACAGCACTGCACTCCAGCCTGGGCAACAGAGTGAGACTCCATCTCAAAAAAATAAAAATAAAAAATAAGAGAGAGATAAATGAAGAAAAGAAACATAAGCAGCAAAAAATGAGGCATAATCATCAATATACCCAAATAAACTCAGGAAGAATTCTGACAAATACTTCTCCATACTGTAAAGGGGAAAAACGCATACAGCACGACTGCTTCTTTAAAAAATACTTTTTTAAATAAACTCCTAGCCTTCAGTAATCCTCCCTCCTCCGCCTCCAAAAGTACTGCGATTATAGGCATGAGCCACCACACCCAGCCTTCAAAATAATTTTTTAAATGAGATACAACGTTTCAGAGAAAAGTTTATATAGGAAAAGAAAGTGAAGAAGGAAAAATTAGCAGATTTTAGAAAATAAATAAAAGGGGAAAAGTAAAATATTTCAAAGTTGAAGGCCATGTCTTTTTTCTTTTTGCTATTTCCTGGCTTCTAGAAATGAGAAGGCCTTTTTTTTTTTTTTTGAGACAGAATCTTGCTCTGTCACCCAGGCTGGAGTGCAGTGGCATGATCTCGGCTCACTGCAACCTCCACCTCCCCAGTTCAAGCAATTCTTCTGCCTCAGCCTCCCACATAGCTGGGATTACAGGCACACATTACCACACCTGCCTAATTTTTGTATTTTTGGTAGAATTGGGGTTTCACCATGTTGGCCAGGCGAGTCTAACTCCTGACCTCAGGTGATCTGCCTGCCTCAACTTCCCAAAGTGCTAGGGTTATAGGCGTGACCCGCCGCACTCCACCAAGAAGGTCATATTTTATTCAAAAAAACTTTTTAAGACAGAGTCTCATTCTGATGCCAGGCTGGAATGCAGTGGCATGATCTTGGCTCACTGTAACCTCCACCACCCGGGTTCAAGCGATCCTCCTGCCTCAGCCTGCCTAGTGGCTGGGACTACAGGCACGCGCCACCACACCCAGCTAATTTTTGTGTTTTTAGTAGAGATGGGATTTCACCATGTCGGCCAGAATGGTCTTGATCTCTCGACCTCGTGATCCACCTGCCTCAGCCTCCCAGAGTGCTGGGATTACAGGCGTGAGCCACTGCGCCCAGCCAGAAGGTCATAGTTTAAAATAGAATAAATGCAACGGGAAAAAATCAAGACTGTAATGGATACATTTCTGAAAATCATAAAAATGTAATGGAAGAACACAACAATGAAAATAGCATGATAGAAAGAACGAGGCTGGGCTCGGTGGCTCACACCTGTAATCCCAGTACTTTTGGAGGTCAAGGTGGGCAGATCACCTGAGGTTGGGAGTTTGAGACCAGCCTGACCAACATAGAGAAACCCTGTCTCTACTAAAATACAAAATTAGCCCTGGGCGTGGTGGTGCAAGCCTGTAATCCCAGCTACTTGGGAGGCTGAGGCAGGAGAATTACTTAAACCTGGGAGGCAGAGGTTGCAGTAAGCAGAGATTGTGCCATTACACTCCAGTCTGGGCAACAAGAGTGAAACTCCATCTCAAAAAAAAAAAAAAATGAGAAATGTGGAAAACAGAAAAATCTAAATGATTCATAATTGGGTATTTCTGACGAAGACAACAAAGCATAAAATAATGAATAAAATAATCTAAAATAGGCCGGGCGCGGTGGCTTACGCCTGTAATCCCAGCACTTTGGGAGGCCGAGGCAGGTGGATCATGAGGTCAAGAGATCGAGACCACCCTGGTCAACATGGTGAAACCCTGTCTCTACTAAAAATACAAAAAAAAATTAGCTGGGCATGGTGACGCGTGCCTGTAATCCCAGCTACTCAGGAGGCTGAGGCAGGAGAATTTCCTGAACCCAGGAGGCGGAGGTTGTGGTGAGCCGAGATCGCGCCATTGCACTCCAGCCTGGGTAACAAGAGGGAAACTCAAAAAAAAAAAAAAAAAAGGACCCCTGCAAAATAATCTAAAATAAATATTTTAAAACATAAGTTAAATTAGATAAATATTTGACTCCAGATCTAATGGACACACCATTTTTTTTATTTTTTCACTTTTTCTCACTCTGTTGCCCAGGCTGAAATACAGTGGCACAATCATGGTTCACTGCAGTCTTGACCTTCCTGGGCTCAGGTGATCCTCTCACCTCACCCTCACAAGTAGTTGGGACTACAGGTGTGTGCTACCACAGCTGGCTAATTTTCGTTGTTTTTTTTTTTGTAGAGACTCACCTTGTTGCCCAGGCTGTTTTTGAACTCCAGGCTCAAGTGCTCCACCCACCTGGGCCTCCGAAAGTGCTGGGATTACAGGTGTGAGTCCTGTAATCCCAGATCTAAGAAAAGCCCTGTAATCAAGCCTAAGAAAAGAAAATGATCCAAGCCTGGCATGGTGGCTCACATCTGTAACCCCAGCACTTTGGGAGGCTGAGGTGGGTAGATCACCTGAGGTGATGAGTTTGAGACCAGCCTGGCCAACATAGTGAAACCCTGTCCCTACTAAAAATACAAAAAATTAGCTGAGTGTGGTGGTGGGCACCTGTAATCCCAGCTACTAGGGAGACTGAGGCAGGAGAATAGCTTGAATCCGGGAGGCGGAGGTTGCAGTGAGCCGAGATCATGCCATTGCACTCCAGCCTGGTCAGCAAGAGTAAAACAGCCCCCCCACCAAAAAGAAAAAGAAGAATAAAGAAAATGATCCAGACTTATCAAAGCCAAGACATATTCTGATGAAGTTATTGTGTTAAGGAAAAATAGCTAGACTTCCATTTCTATGTGGTTTTTTGTTTGTTTGTTTGTTTACATTTTCAACAGGGGCTTCTGCGATAGAATCCATCTGGTTAAGACATGACAGTGAGCCGGCCGGTGGTGCGTGCCAGCTACTCTCAAGAGGCTGAGGTGGGAGGATCACTTGAGCCCACGAGTTCTGAGCTATAGTGTGCTATGCCAGTCAGGTGTCTGCACTAAATTCAGCATCGATATGGTGACCTCCCGGGAGCGGGGGACAACCAGGTTGCCTAAGGAGGGGTGAACCAGCCCAGGTCGGAAACGGAGCAGGTCAAAACTCCCGTGCTGATCAGTAGTGGGATCTCGCCTATGAATAGCCACTGCACTCCAGCCTGGGCAACATAGCGAGACTCCATCTCTAAAAAAAAAAAAAAAAAAAAATGACAGTGATTTTTTTTTTTTTATTTCATAGCTAAATTCACATTAAAGTAAAGAAAACCCTTCTAGGCCCAAAGCAAAGGGGAAACTAAAAATCAATTAAGAATGCTACAGCTGCTCTTGGGAAGGGATGGTTTCTAACCTCAGAAAACAAGGGGTTTCAGTTTTTAAGGACCAATCATGAAGAGATGGGTCCTTATATCTGCAAATATCTGGGAATCTGAAAGCCACATTACATGAAGCAAGGATCCCCCATGGACTACTTCCTTGATAAAAGAATGGACTGAAAGAAAAAGGTCTCATGAGCAAAATGAGATTTTGACAAAGCTTGGATGTCTTCGCCTGGGCTCTGGATGGAGAAAGTTTTTTTGGAGAAATTTTAACCTCGGGCCTGTCTTCATGCAGATTTGAGATTTTAGTTTACATGGCTGACATGGTTTAGAAAACCCAAGCCAAGAAATCAACATAAAAAGTAATACTAAACTGGTTTTGGCCTTGGGTCGCTTGGGAAAAGCAAAAGCTAAATTACTTTAAAGACTCACACTCTTAAGCCAGATGGACCAGGATTCCCCCAGCTAAAGCTGAGGTTGACATGTTTTTAATTAGATAAAATTAGCGGCTTTGCAGGGAAAAAAATTATATATATGTAAAACTGACCAACATTGACTACGAAAGAGAACATCTGAAGATCTAAATCATTAAAGAAATTGATTAGATCGTCGGCAAAACCTGAGTCCCGTCCTCTCCCTCTCCTCCCCTGGCAGCATGAGCTTCACCACCAGCTCCACCTTTTCCACAAACTACCGGTCCGTGGGCTCCGTCCAGGTGCCCAGCTACGGTGCCCAGCCGGTCAGCAGCACGGCCAGCGTCTATGCAGGCGCCGGGGGGCTCTGGTTCCCGCATCGCCGTGTCCCGCTCCACCAGCTTCTGGGGTGGCCTGGGGGCTGGGGGCCTGGCCTCGGGGATGGCCAGAGGTCTGGCAGGAACGGGAGGCATATAGAACGAGAAGGAGACCGTGCAACCTGGACACATACCTGGACAGAGTGAGGAGCCTGGAGACCGAGAACCGGAAGCTGGAGAGCAAAACCCAGGAGAACCTAGAGAAGAAGGGACCTCAGGTCAGAGACTGGAGCCATTACTTCAAGACCATGGAGGACCTGAGGGCTCAGATCTTTGCAAATACTGTGGACAACGCCTGCATCGTTTTGCAGATCCACAATGCGTGTCTTGCTGTTGATGACTTTAGAGTCAAGTACGAGACAGAGCTGGCCATGCGCCCGTCCGTGGAGAGCCACATCCACGGGCTCCACAAGGCCATCGATGTGGAGGCCCTGCTGAACACCAATGTCACTGGGCTGCAGCTGGAGACAGATCGAGGCTGTCAAGGAGGAGCTGCTCTTCCAGAAGAAGAACAATGAAAGGAAGTAAAAGGCCTACAAGCCCAGATTGCCAGCTCTAGGTTGACCGTGGAGGTAGATGCCCCCAAATCTCAGGGCCTCACCAAGGTCATGGCAGACATCTGGGCTCAATATGACAAGCTGGCTCGGAAGAACCAAGAGGAGCTGGACAAGTACTGGTCTCAGCAGACTGAGGAGAGCACCACAGTGGTCACCACACAGTCTGCTGAGGTTGGAGCTGCTAAGACGACAGAGCTGAGACATATGGTCCAGTCCTTGGAGATCAACCTGGACTCCAAGAAAAATATGAAGATCAGCTTGGAGAACTGCCTGAGGGAGGTGGAGGCCCGCTATGCTCTGCAGATGGAGCAGCTCAACGGGATCCTGCTGCACTTGGAGTCAGAGCTGGCACAGACCCAGGCAGAGGGACAGTGCCAGGCCCAGGAGTACCAGGCCCTGCTGAACATCAAAGTCAAGCTGGAGGCTGAGATCGCCACCTACCTCCGTCTGCTGCAAGATGGCGAGTACTTCAGTCTCGGTGATGCCCTGGACAGCAGGAACTCCATGCAAACCGTCCAAAAGACCACCACCCACTGGATAGTGGATGGCAAAGTGGTGTCTGAGACCAAGGACACCAAAGTTCTGAGACATTAGGCCAGCAGAAGCAGGGGACCCTTTAGAGAGCAGGATTCCAATGAAAAGTTCAGAGGTCGGCCGGGCGCAGTGGCTCACACTTATAATCCCAGCACTTTGGGAGGCCGAGGCAGGTGGATCACAAGGTCAAGAGATCGAGACCATCCTGGTCAACATGGTGAAACCCCGTCTCTACTAAAAATACAAAAATTAGCTGGGCATGGTGTTGTGCTCCTGTAGCCCCAGCTACTCGGGAGGCTGAGGCAGGAGAATTGCTTGAACCCAGAAGGCAGAGGTTGCGGTGAGCCAAGATCGTGCCATTGCACTCCAGTCTGGGTAACAACAGCGAAACTCCATCTAAAAAAAAAAAAGTTTAGAGGTCAAAAAAAAAAAGTTGATTTGTAGTATAAATCTACCTAACAAAGATAAAATTGATGGTTTTCATAGACAAGTTTACCCAATAATCAGTTTTTTTAAAATCTCATACAAACTTAAATTTCCAGAAAACAGAAAAAGGAAATATTGCCCAACTGACTTTATGTGGCAGGTATAAAATAACCTTTATGGGCCGGGCGCAGTGGATCATGCCTGTAATCCCAGCACTTTAGGAAGCCGAGATGGGTGGATCATGAGGTCAGGAGTTCAAGACCAGCCCGGCCAACATGGTGAAACCCCATCTCTTAAAAAAAATTTTTAATTTAATTAAAAAAATAAAAATATCCTTTATGGTAGACACTGCTAATTATCCTACTTATTCTCCTATTCTCCCCTTATCTTTCACAGCAAAAGAAACTTTGCTTTTAAGTTCAAATAGAGGCCACACTTCCCAGCCTTCCTTGCAGCTGCATGTAGCCATGTGACTAAGTTCTAGCCAAGAGAAGTAGAAATGTTATATGCAACTTTTGATTCATGCTCGAAAGTCAGAGATATGCCATTTCTTCACCCTGCCACTTAGAAAGTAGATGAGCTGGCCGGGCACAGTGGCTTATGCCTGTAATCCCAGCACTTTGGGAGGCCGAGGCAGGCAGATCACAAGGTCAGGAGTTTGAGACCAACCTGGCCCACATAGTGAAACCTGGTCTCTACTAAAAATATAAAAATTAGCCAGGCATGGTGGCATACGCCTGTAATTCCAGCTTCTCAAGAGGCTGAGGTAGGAGAACCATTTGAACCCAGAGGGCGGAGGTTGCAGTGAGCCAAGATCGCCCCACTGCACTGCAGCTTGGGTGATAGAGTGAGACTTCCTCTCAGATAAATAAATATATAAAAGTAAATGAGCTATTTGGACCACACAAACTAGGAGTGGTTGAGCAGAAGCACCAAACCAGCCCTGGACCACCAACCTCCAGATAATACAGGACAGAGAAAAAACCTCTCTCATTCACATCGCCACTATGTTGGGTATCAGTTACATACAGCCAAACCCGTGTAACAGGTAGATCACCCTACATACCAACACCAGAAATGTATCGTGTGAGAAAGAAAAATTGACAGCCAATCTCAGTTATGATTATAGATGCAAAATCCTAAATAAACTGCTAGCAAATGGAACAAAGTATAATACTTAAGAAAAATTATGCCTAAATTGGGTTTATGCCATGATTGCAGGGATGATTTTAACTGTAGAAAATGCATTAATGTAAGTAGTCACACTAGGAGATTAAAAATTAAAACTGGTGGCTCACGCCTGTAATCCCAGCACTTTGGGAGGCTAAGGCAGGTGGACCACCTGAGGTCGGGAGTTCGAGATCAGCCTGGCCAACACGGAGAAACCCTGTCTCTACTTAAAAAAATACAAAAAAATTAGCCAAGCATGGTGGCGCATGCCTGTAATCCTAGCTACTAGGGAGGCTGAGGTAGGAGAATCACTTGAACCCAGGAGGCGAAGGTTGCGGTGAGCCGAAATTGCACCATTGCACTCCAGCCTGGGCAACAAGAGTGAAACTCCATCTCAAAAAAAAGAAAATACTAGGCCAGGCACGGTGGGTCACCCCTGTAATCCCAGCAATTTGGGAGGCCAAGGCAAGCAGATTACCTGAAGTCAGGAGACCAGCCTGACCAACATGGTGAAACCCCATCTTTGAAAAAAAGAAAAAATATATATATATATTAAATGATACAGACCTCAATGATAAAAAAGAAAGAAAAAAATGAAAAAACAAAGAAAGAAAGAAAATACATGAAGCAAATATGAACCAAAGGAAATATCGGGGAAGGAATTTTAATATTTTAGAAAAGAGGATACAAGAGGAAAAATATAAAAGACAATGAAGGACATAATACAAGAATATACAGGCCGGTCACAGTGGCTCACACCTGTAATCCCAGCACTTTGGGAGGCTGAGGCGGGTGGATCACGAGGTCAAGAGATCGAGACCATCCTGGCCAACATGGTGAAACCCCATCGCTACTAAAAAATACAAAAATTAGCTGTGCATGGTGGCATGTGCCTGTAGTCCCAGCTACTCTGGAGGCTGAGGCAGGAGAATGCTTGAACCCAGGAGGTTCCAGTGAGCCAAGATCGCACCACTGCACTCCAGCCTGGCACCTGGCGACAGAGCGAGACGACTGTCTCAAAAAACAAAAAAGAGTATACAAGCACTAGGAACATAAAAGCACCTACTCATATAGCCTCAAATATATAAAACAACTGATAAAATTCCTAAGGCTGGATGTGGTGGCTCATGCCTATAATCCCATCATTTAGAGAGGCCTAAATGGGAGAATCGTTTGAGCCCAGGAGTTCCAAGACCAACCTGGGCAGAATAGTGAGAACTCATCTTGAACTCTTGACCCTTTTTTTTTTTTTTTTTTTGAGACTGAGTTTCACTCTGTAGCCCAGGCTAGAGTGCCGTGGTGTAATCTCGGCTCACTGCAACCTCTGCCTCCCGGGGTCAAGGAATTATCCTGCCTCAGCCTCCTGAGTAGCTGGGATTATAGGCACGTGCCACCATGCCCCCCTAATTTTTGTATTTTTAGGAGAGACGGGGTTTCACCATTTTGGCCAGTCTGGTCTCGAACTCCTGATCCACCTGCCTCGGCCTCTCAAAGTGCTGGGATTACATTCATGAGCCACTGCGCCAAGCAAGACCTCATGTCTATTTTTTTTTAATTAAATTAAATCAAAAATTAAAAACAAAAAATGTTTTCTGGAAGAAATAGATTACTTATGGTTAGATATTTTTTTTTCTTTTTTTTTTTGAGACGGAGTTTCACTCTTGTTACCCAGGCTGGAGTGCAATGGCGATCTTGGCTCACCACAACCTCCGCCTCCTGGCTTCAAGCAATTCTCCTGCCTCAGCCTCCTGAGTAGCTGGAACTACAGGCACGCGCCACCATGCCCAGCTAATTTTTTGTATTTTTAGTAGAGACGGGGTTTCACCATGTTGACCAGGATGGTCTCGATCTCTTGACCTCATGATCCACCCGCCTCAGCCTCCCAAAGTGCTGGGATTATAGGCGTGAGCCACTGCTCCTGGCCACGGTTAGAGATTTTTATATACCCTTCCCTGAAACTGGTTGATCAAAAAGACAAAAATAAGCAGAGGTATAAAATAGCTGTGTAATATCATTGGTAAATCAAGCTATTGGGCCAAGCATAGTGGCTCACGCATGTACGTTCTGGACCTTGGGAGTCCATAGTGGGCGGATCACCTGAGGTCAGGAGTTTGAGACCAGCCTGGCCAACATGGCAAAACCCTATCTCTACCAAAAATCCAAAAATTAGTCAGGCACGTGGCACACACCTGTAGTCCCAGCTACTAGGGAGGCTGAGGCAGGAGGATGGCTTGAACCCAGGAGGCAGAGGTTGCAGTGAGCCAAGATTGCACCACTGCACTCCAGCCTGGGTAACCCACAAGACTCTATCTCAACAACAACAAAAATCAAGCTATTGGGGTATGTAGAATTTCACATATTTACATATCCTTTTCTAGCATGTATGGATCAGGTAATATGGAATATGTTTGATACTACAAAGAAACCCTTGAAAATTTCAGGGGCCGGGCGTGGTGGCGCAAGCCTGTAATCCCAGCACTTTGGGAGGCTGAGGCGGGTGGATCACGAAGTCAAGAGATCGAGACCATCGTGGTCAACATGGTGAAACCCCGTCTCTACTAAAAATACAAAAAATTAGCTGGGCATGGTGGTGCGTCCCTGTAATCCCGGCTACTTAGGAGGCTGAGGCAGGAGAATTGCCTGAACCCAGGAGGCAGAGGTTGCAGTGAGCTGAGATCATGCCATTTTTTGCACTCCAGCCTGGGTAACAAGAGGGAAATTCCGTCTCAAAAAAAAAAAAAGTTTTTTTCAAAGATTCACTATTATCAAATTAAGGTCAGATGTGTTGGCTCCCACCTATAATCCCAGCATTTTGAGAAGCTGAGGCGGGAGGATGGCTTGAGCCTAAGAGTTCTAGGCTGCAGGCTGGGCGTGGTGGCTCACGCTTGTAATCCAAGCACTTTGGAGGCCAAGGCGGGCGGATCACCTGAGGTCGGGAGTTCAAGACCAGCCATGATCAACATGGTGAAACCCCCGTCTTTAAAAAATAAAGAATTATAGGCTGTAGTGAGTTATGATTGTGTCATTGCACTCCAGCCTGGGCAACAGAGTAAGACATTGTCTCTTAAAAAAGAAAAAAAGTTTGTATTATTATACAGATTATGTTTTCTGACTGTAATGCAATAAAAAATTTAAATTAATAGATAATAAAATAGTTTTTAAATAAACCACCCCAAAAAACTAAAAACAGCCCAATGTTCACCAATAGGAGTACAGAAAAATAGGGTATTTTCATACGATGAAATATGATAGAGAAGTGAAAATGAATGAACTCCATCAATATGAATCTTAAATAAATGGCTTATTTTAAATAAGAAAGTTGCAGAAGCATTTATACATTATGATACCATTTATGTAAAGTGCAAAAACATGCAATACTTAATAATATATTGTTTAAAAATTAGCTGGGTGTGGTGGCATGCACCTGTAATCCCAGCTACTCCTGAGGCTGAGGCAAGAGAATCACTTGAACTTAGGAGGCGGA